ATACTATAGAAAATAAGTAGGCATATAAGTAGGCATGTGTGATATAGAGGAAGCAAAATGAGATGGTGAAATGGCTTCTATTTGGTAATAGAAAACGCGCAGCCGCTCTTCACCTCTTTCTTTTGTGAGTTTCTGGGAACAAATTATCTCTTAGTACTCTGGTATTGAGGATGTTCGGCACCCCTACTACTTGCAGCAATAAAAAATAACAAGCTAGTTACTGCTTGCGATTTTTCCTACAACTTACCGCTTCTCAGTGCGCCCATACGAGTGTTTTCTCCTCATTCTCTGCATCCTTTACCCCAGGAGTCTCGTCCATTAGGCTCAAATGCTTGAGCACGAGCTCCGGATAGCGGAAAATAGCTCGTCGTCCATTAGCGGCTCTAATAGTACCTGGTCTGTCTAGCAACTATGATTTTTTTCCAGGAGGGTAAGGGTTGCAAACCCAAGGAGACCCTAAGCTTCGTCTATCAAACAAAACAATTGCCCTAAAAAATGGAAGAGGAAACAAGTGAGCGAGCTGGTCTGAGCGCGCTACTTTTCAAAAAATTGAAGCTGAAAGCCATCAAATATTGAAATAATTCAAAGTCAAAGCATTCTAGTTCTGGCTAGCGCGTTTGTGTATGTCACGAGCGCTAGCGCGCTAGTCGCAGCAAACGCTCGCAGGCCAGAGTTAGCGCTATTCGTGCTGTTTGCCGCACGCGGCAGCTGGATGGATCACGTGATCCAAGCTGACGAATAAGGTCCGATGGTTCAGCTACATTGAGCCACAAGCGTCAGGAACACTGACTGTTCTCCTTCTCAACACGTCAGTGTGTCCTCCACCTAAGTCCTTGTCACCTGCTTGCGGTATCCTCAAAGTCAAACATTGCTACAAATGTAGTACAACTTCAAGTAGATTTAGTATGTCCTGCACGAGCCGCTGTAGATCGAACCATTACACATTATATTGTAGGTAGACACGACCTACGACTCCGAGTAGCTTAGATCAACGACTTGGTTACGTGTAGATCTACCAATACTCTACTGTGTTGTCTGCAAAGTGCCTTTATAATATAAGCAAGAGTAGATAATGTTTATCTACTCTTGATATAAGTATAGATCTACTGACTGTCCGTGCATGTAGTGCACTCCAAGTCTACCAGCTACAGTCTAGATCTACAGTACAGTGCAAGCTACAATGATTATGTACATGCTAGTGTACATATCTACAGCAGTGTGAATAGTCGCGTCGTCTATAATCTCGGACTTGTAGAGTTGGACCCATATGTTTGACCTTTGAACCGAACAAGCAATAACCTCAAAAATCTAACTCAGTTGCATTCTTCTCAGAAACCATCTGCATGTTTGCCATGTTTTTGTAGCAAGGGTTCTTTCTCTCCATCGTTCTTTGCCAGCCCTTGTGGTTTTCTTTTATTCGCCCTCAGCTTGCAAAGACAACGGTTGCATTGTAATGAGTTCTGTCTTATACGTGGCCGTTCAGTCGGTCTTTGACTTGAACTGAACTCTTGACCCCAGCATTTGGCAGGACGTTCGTGCTGTTGCGGTGTATGAAGTTGTGGTTCATTTTATCGTGGTCGTCACCCAGTGTTCTGTGGTTCACAGAAAGATGATGCATGGCGGCACGTTACTTGGATTGAGTATTGGTTTGCTGATTTGCCGATTTATTTTCCAACTTCTCCTCGCCGCGGGCTCTTCCAAGGGCAATGAGAGCGTACAGTTCGTTGCGAGCATATTTTATTGGAACCACTGGGAGTGTGTTCGAATAGAAGGATTTTATCATCTCCATGAAACACTGTTACGGACAAGGAGAATGCCTCCCTCGTTCGTTGTTTCCCGTGCCGCTGTGCCTAGTGTCTGGGAGGCGAGGAAGCCTGTACGGCGGCTCTTGACCGCTTCCACTGCTACAAGTACAACAAGCACAGCCTCGGTATCAACAGTGGATCGCAGTGACACTACATCCAGCCAGCTGGGCATAGGTATAATGGCTGGCGTGTTCATTGCTGTGGGTATCATGGGCATCGCCCTTCTGATCATCTACCGACAAGCGGTCAGAGACTGGACAACGGGCAGCCACCATGGAGATAGCAGTGTGGAAGACTCGAACCAACCCACTACACATCATGAGTTCCCATCACATCCTGGTCACATTGTGCCACAGTCAGAACACCGTCCGCCCATTGTCAAGAGGCGACTGAGCGCTCCACGCATTGCACTGAACAAAGTGGCAATGTTCCCAATGGCTGATGCTGTGCAGCCAGATGAGGACGTGGGTGATTTGCCATCTCCAGACATTGGTGATTGGCCACATCCACCTCCACATCCAAAGTTTAGCGATGTCGAAGAACAGCCGGCCCAGTCAGACAGTGCTATGTACTTTACTGTAGGAAACATCAGGACGGATGTCTCCTCGCCATCGCTGTACGGCAATGCGACTAGTCCCGGTGCCAACTTTGGCAGCCTATTCGACATGTCCGCTCACCTGTTTGGACCGGACAACGCTAACGGATTTGCCGCCGCAGAGGGTGCTGTTCATGACAACGCTCGCGGACCTGCCGGGGTGGATGCCACTGTTCAAGTGGAGGCTGGCCGGGAAGCTGAAGTAGTTGTTGACGCAGCAGCGGCTGCAACTGCACCCAGCCTGTCCAGCAATGCTGATAACCCGGCCACCGATGTTAGCCGTGTGCAGGATCTGATCGCAAAGATGGACAAAGGTGGCGGTAGTGTGCGGCATAGCAAGGCGAAAGCAAGCAGCGCCAATGGAGAGACGCCCTGTACTGGCGATGACGACCAGCAAGTAGCTGGGAGGTTGTCAGCTACCCTGGAGACCAGCACTTTGCAGCTGAATTCACCATCCGACTTTCAAATGGAACAGGAATACGATGACTGCTTTATCTTTGCAAAACAGATCGACGGCGTGAACCCTTGTGGGCCTAGCCAACCAGCAAGCACTGCTGAGCATAGCAGTACATCACAAGAAGACACTGATATCTATGATCTGCCTTGGCATAGTGTCGGCACAGACTTGCAACATTCAACCCGCCCTGGCCTTCCTGCAGCCTCGACTAAGCCCCCACAGAAGAGGCCACTTTCACCGGCTGCAAGCGCTTCCTGTAGCCAGCCATTCTCGTATACATGCGACAAGAATTCACCTCTCAGGAAAACTGTCAGCGAGGGGTGCTCGTCTCAGTTGGATGTGAGCAAAAGCAAACGGCAATCTCTCCCTGCAGCAGAGTTGGCTACTACCAGTGACAATAAGTCCAAGTTTCGCTATGCGGTGAAGCTGACCACTGATCAACAACACCGACGAGGAGCAAAGCGTTTCTTGGACGTCCTGGCACAGATCAAGCGTGGCTCCAAGGGCAATGTCAAAGCGTCCGTGATCGAGAGTGTCCAGCGGGTTCCTCTGAATGAGTCTGTTGGTGCAACAATACCGAGCAGCACCGCTCGCCGCTCCTCATCCTTCCCGCTGAACAAGAGCACCTCGCCAACGCCGCCAGCGCCTGTTGACCCTGCTGTCTGCGCTAAACCTGTTCTCGTTGCCTCCATCTACACGACAGCTCTGCCGAGAAGTGACCAGGCTGCGCCCGTATGGCATCACGCTGACGAACTGGCTAGTGAGGCACGCAGTACTGTGAGGCGTCAGTCACTTAGTGTACCTCTGAGCTCCAGTATCAACTGCAAGAGGTCAGCCAGCGACAAAACTCAACCAGAGCCAGCACTCAGCAGGCGCAGGCTCTCCAGCACTTCCAGCCTGAGTCCTCGACTTCCATCTCACAACCTACGCTCGGGCAGCTCTTCAGGCCGTGCACCTCTAGCTGCAAACACAGCAGCTACCTCAGGGGCAATGCCGAATGCAACTTTCAAAGCAAGTAACGTGGCCGATGAAGGTGATTTGTACATGGACATGGCCTTCACTGGGTTGTCACCTGCTGCCTCCTCCATTGGCGAGACGATTGCCTCCAGTTTGCCGCAGCCAGAAGCTGCTCCTGGTGTGGCTGCCGATGAAATGTATGGCTCGGTGGAAGCGGCGGAAGACATCTATGCCGTCGCGGCACTCGATCCCGGCCAGCAGCTTGTTATGGAGGATGAGTACATGTGTATGAGTGCCGGGGAGAATTAATGCCTATCCGCAGCCAGGTGTGAATGGCAGCCGGAGCATACAGACCTCACCGTATATGTGTGCATTTCAGACGATCATGTCAAGTAACTCGAGTCTCTTCTCAGTACTGCCAATGCCATCATACTAAACAAATGCTCTATTTAAGTCTTCCAATTGAAAAACACCGACATGGTATATCGGATCAGAAACAGAGCATGATACTAGTTATTTCTCCCGCCAGAAAATTATGCTCCTACACAAGCGTGTATAAGCAGATTATAACACCTTGAACCGCTGCTGTTGCCATCCAAGTACTGATGTGCTCCTAAAGAACTATTGTAGTATCATTTCCATCAGACCAGCTACTATAAACATATGCCACATATAGTAAAGTCATGGCACAGATTATCTATACATTTGAAAAGCCTTGCAATCTATCTAGAGAAGCCCTTGCATGCAAAGAAGCTGAATGACATAAACATAAAGCCTTATTCTCTCCGAGGAAAGTACGAACAGTCAGATCATGATATTCGCCAATCGCCGAGACGGTAGTCGCTCTGCTGCAAATGACTGCACAAGCATATCATAATTATTATGCGCATGTGCCCCACTGTTTTGCCCCATACACATGGCCCATGTATCTCTCCCTCCCTCCTCCATTCTATAATATATTCTTTTTTTTGTCGCGGAATGTCACATGTTACGTTTGATTCTGGTGGTTCTTTGACTCGCCACGTGTAACAGTCATCTGCAATGGAACAGTGGTGGAACTATCACCAGTTACCATGGATACTTGACAGGAAAAGTGTTCTGTGGATTGTCGTACATGTACATCTACTTGAAGTAGTAGATCACTCGCATCTCTTCCTAATATGGGATCCACTCTCTGCAGACTGCGGAGATGGGCGGCTACTATTGCGTGTAGATGTTTTGTTAGTTAGCCAATGATTTTTCTTAAACATGGTGCGATCATTTTAGAATTGAGGAGAAAATGAACAACAGGGCAGCCTCCAAAATCAATTACTTGATTGTACAGCCTATAAGAGTGATACAGTTTTGAAAGTCACAAATTCGAGATTGGGTGTAGTCATGTTCTCTGATCACCCGGAAGAAAGCGGCTCATTACTTTACTATATGGCTGGAAACTCAATCAGCTAATGCCTGCCTAACAATCATGATTAATAATATCAATAAATCACAATAGCAAAACTATACAATAATTAATTATGCTTGGTGCAGTAATGGTGAAGGCTGAAGAAAAGGACAACATACTTGATCGTACCGTGCTTGGCTTTCATTCGTACATGCATGTCCACAATGCATGCTGTTTCGTAAGCTAAGTTTAATTCTCATTGGGACGGATTGTTCTAATACGGAAGATATGGCTTTCCTCTTTCTTTGTATTTTTAATCTAGAATGTACACTTGTTCAGTAATCGGAATGTTGTACTCAGTCCGTTCTGTTCAGACCGGCCCACTCATGCATGCAATAATCACTGCTTTACACCGTGAGCTATGTTAGAATTAATCTATGGCCAGGCGTAGCTCTCGCTCCCGGTTGGCCATGTGGACCTCGTCTTGCTGCTGCCGACGCTTGCGGCGCCGTGCGTTGCCGAACCAGTCGGCGAGCTGCTTGACGGTCATGCAGGACTGCTTGGCGAGACGCTTCTTCTCCTCCCTGTCCGGGTACGGGTTTTCCTGGTGCTCTTCCACCCAGGTCATTAGCAGCTTGGTGGCAGTCTTGCAGGAGTAGTGGTTGCGAGTCGACGTTATCGGTCTGGGGACACGCGCAGATAGACACACACGCCCATGCACACATGAACATACACACACACACATGCACATACACACACACACACACACACACACACACACACGCACACACACAATGACCACAGTTTGGACGTTGCTTAGTATTGCGTCATAATTATACATGTACGAAAATCGACAAAGTCACGAAGACTCGTAATGGGCCGACACCGAAACGGACTGCATTGAATTGTCAATGCCCAAATGGCTGCAGGGTATCACAAATCAAATGCATGGGAATTCAGCAAGGTAAGGAACACTTACTCCCTGTGTGTACATTATCCATGCAGAAGAATAGATTATGCAAGTACTACGCAGTATACACATAGCCTGCAAAGTGTGTCACTGCACTCTGGTGTAATGTTACACTACGGAATTCTGATGTACAGGTACCGAGTCTTTCATTAACGAGTTTCATGACTGTAAATTCGATGCTACACACTCGGCTAGAAAGAAGAAGAAAACCCTCACCTATCACGACCAGCAACACAGCTGTTGTCGGGGCAGGCACACTTTTCTTGCCTTGGCCGGGGCTCGCGGACGCGTATCGTACTTCTCACAATCTCGTTCTTCAGCGACTGGCGAATCATGTGCAGCCTCCGCTGCTCCTCCACTGCTGCTGGGCTCATCTGTGAACAGGGGTGGAAATAAGTACACACAAATTGAGTTTAGACTTCGTTGCGATCGGTTCAGCCAGTAATTCTGAGCTCCACTGACGAGACCTGACAAGGTCAAAACAGCTAGCTGTATGTCGATTGAGTATACACAAATTGATGTGAATGCTGCCAACTAACCAGGTAGAAAGGAGCAATAGTCATTGTACAATTTGACCACTGAAGATACAATAATATGAACCAAGAAATCCACTCGCACAAATAAGCAAGCTTCTTGCACCAGCTCACTGTAAACGTGCATGGAAACGGAAGCACATAATTATTACTCAGCACGAGGGTGTAGGTTCCCCCATTCCATGCCACTGCATTGCATGTTCCCCATGATACAACTGCCCAGTAAACGGTTTGACAGGATGTCATTATGGAGTATCTCCTATACTCTGAGTACCAGACATACAGGTATTTTTCAAGCTGGTAAAGTGACTGGTGATTAATTCAGTGTAGGGAAGAACAAGATGTTACTGGGAGTCCTGGTGCATACTGGTAGTCGTTTCTTGTAAGGATTTCTCAGCTTGTGCGTCAACCTCAAGGCTAACTCCCCTTTTGCGCGAGCCATCCAAAAGTAGACAAATTAATTGGCAGGAGGCCCGTCACCTCAGCCTGGATGTCATGCTAATAAGTCATAGCGGAGCTGGCAGATCTCGTCTCCCACCTACATGTACATGGCATTGTAATGCGAGGCGCGTTTGACAAGCCCATCAAGCAGCGGATCACGCATGCATGCAAACCCAGCGCTCGTGCCTTGCTACGCAACGCTTAGCCGGCCCTTCTCGATTCATTCAACACTAAAATCACCGCAGAGCTGAGTAAAGTCAGTCGAGCTAAAAGCAATGCGTCACCTAATAATTTATAATTGAATCAAACTTCATTCGAGAGCCGGAATGGATTTTCTCTCCCCTCTACAAATCAAGCACTTCTTTAGCTGAGACTTACCCCCGAGTTGTCGCTTGTGTCCGGCATGGCTTGCGACTCAGGCGACGACATGGGCGTCACCTGCGGAAAGGAGAATCCTCCACAGCTGGCAGCGGACAGAGCAACTGGGTTGTGCTGCTGGTGTTGGCTAGTGTGGTGGTGGTGTCCATTCATAGCATTCGGGTCGGGCGTAATGACTGTGGGTGGCTGGCTGGCGTGCACCGAATCGCAACCAGTGGTCACTGTTGTGCTAGGCTGTACGAGTAGCGGAACACTCTGCGACGCGCTGGCTGTGTGTACGGCCGTCGGAATCGCCGTCCACGTGGGTGCCTGCACTAACACATAGCTACCGGCACGCTTAGCGAACCCACCGGATACGGCAGCGCTTTCGGGCGACGAGGAAGTGACGGACTGCGGCCCTCCGGTCACGTACCCGCCCGTTTTCTGCACGGGCACATTGACAGCGCCCGGCACCTGCACTTGCTGCATGTCAATACGCTGTACAGGAATGAGGGTGCTGTTGGGGTACTGCTCCGGGCTAGACGGGGCACTGGTCAGACCGGACAGCTGGTAGGAGGCCGGTACGTACTGGAGAGAGGGAGACGGGGCAACACAAAATACACATTGCACAGTTTTAGACAAGAAGTTGACCTCCTAAATGGTGATGAAACGAAGCGGAGCATTGCAATTTTAGTCATTCCCGGGCTGCAACGGTACCAGGGAGCAATCCAATATCGGTATGGGGGTACTATGTATGTGACTGCTCCCTGGGCGGCACCATCGTTCGAGACAGAGTTTATTTTCAGTTAATCTTATAATTTCAGATGTTTTGCTTTCAACGAAGGGGAATGAGGCTGAAGAGTTCCCCATTGACTCCGTGTTGCGATTGACCCTCAGCTAAATAACAGTTACGAAGCCATTTGATGGTCATCTTCCTTTCCAATTCCAGATGTTGGAATCGTTCCTTGAAGGGCCGGGGGAGACACATCTTCTGGACATATGGCCTCGACGTGTCCTTTGACAGCGCTCTGTACACACGTCAGTGGTTGTCTCCCCGACACATGTTTGTAAAGGAACGTTATGGGCACGTAGATCCGATGCTCATACTCATAACATTAGGCTTTTCTTTCCTGATTGTCAACGCCACATCCAACACACAATACGTACGTGTTCTTGCACGTACATGCACTTTGGTGGTGCTGGTTTGTTTATGACACTGCATACGACTAAACGCACACCTACTCGTACACGTAACGTTACACGCGAGAAATTCAGTACTGAACATGGGCATGCAAAGCGGTCACCTTGTAAGTAATTAGTTGTAGCGGCGAGACTGCCACGTAACGTGGCTATCTGCCTAGTAGGTGCACATGGCTTTCTTTCCGCCATGGCAGGGCTTGATCTTACTCAGCAGTTAGTGGTCACCTGCTACAAGGCTAAGCTCCACCTTGCTTATTGATTGTGTTACGGGAAAATGTACAAAACATTAAAAGCATGTATTGAAATTCTACCAGAAAACATTGGAAGGCAATAACCCATGAGGGAAGAATCAATTGCGCCTTATGTGGAATTTCACGATGATCATCTGGTATACGAACACCACTACAAACACCTACATTTGAAGACGTCGAAGGTCGAGGGTTAACCAAGGTCGAGACATACATAATTATACTTCGAGGTCCGGCGAATCGTCGCCGATTTGACGGAGTTTTCACGTCTATCGCAGCCCCAACTTAGCCTCCGTCTGGACATATTCCTTCCACTAACTGTTTTGCTGGATTCTCTCCTATTCACTGTTTGGCTTTTGGAGAAGGATCTCGTGTATCTAGAAGGTGATGTATTAGCTGGTAAAGATACTGGAAGCCTTTCTTGCACTTACTGTATTCCGATCATCGTAGATATCCGAGAACTTCGGGTCGTTTCCGCGGGCGAACTGATCGTATGCAGGCAAGTTGCTGAAGGCCATTGGAGGGTGATTGACGTTCGGAGCATATCTGAGCGTAGTGCCTGCATTCATCTTGACTTATTCTGCTGAACTGGACAGTATATTCCTATCTTGTTGCAGGTTGATAGTCCGCTAGCCCAAACTACTGAGACTGTCTCAACATTCTAGTTTCCTGGGGCTTTTGTAGGTTCCGGGAAGGGCCACAATTTATCGAGGTTGCGATTTTTTCGGACATGGGATAAACGAAGGCGTACACGCTACGGCAAGGATGCGCGCCTCGCCTTTATTACCTTTGTTACCCAGGCCAAGAGCCTTGAACAACCAAGAAAATGCAGCGGGGGCCAATCATTCGACGGCCAGTCCAAAACTAGACAAAGGTGACAACTTGCGACCGCAGCGTGTCCGTCAGTATCAGCCATCAGCCAAGGACAGGTTGGAACACAGTCACATCATCACAGCCTGTGCCCATGCTGGTGTTAGCCAGCCAGGCACGTACACATGCTTCGTGCGTGTAGTCTTCACTCCAAAACCGAAGTGTCATGTACATGTAACGGTATTGTCGTCGACTTGAGCCTTGCTCAGTTGCTGGAGCTTCTTCATGGGACAGGCTTCCCAGGACATCACCATCAGTCATCACGCCATCTTGTGCGATGATATGTGAGCTACGTTCTTGCAGTTCTAACGTAGCTGTATTCAAGTGTATTGTTAGGGTTTTGAGAACTCTATCTTTCGTGTCCAATGCACAACACAGGAACCATTCTTTCAGGGTACTGCACCCTCAGCCTGGCAAACTTCAACAATTGCAGGGCAGAGATATAGTGTGATAACGTGGTCTTTCACCCCACAGGGTGGTAGGAATACTACGATACTCAGGGCAGGAGAATGTGGATAGAACTGGCCGCTGTGAAATTCAGATCAAAGATGTTTGTTTTAGGCATCGGGGTACATACATGTCATAGGGAGGGACATCAAATCCGCAGTGGGGAAAGAATGTTAGTAGTGTGACAGTACATGTAGCAGGCAGCTTCATCTTTTCTCGCAATACGTGACGGTTGGTGTTGTGACAACACAGTTCGAAACTCATGTACACTGCGCAAATGTCACGTTAGTTGGCTCTTGGATGGGCTGCTTGGCATGGCTTGGCGTCGTGGCAGACTAGCACACGCTGAACACGTAACTGCTGTATTCCCAGGTGCGTGCATGAGCAGTGTGTCTTCGCCACCGTCTCCCCATAGTATGCACGGCTGGTGTCCTCTGTTCCGTCTAAATTGTTACCAATAAATAGCACATGGAGAAACTCCTACGCATTGTATAGATGGAATGCTAGGTGAAGCTAGAACTGGCGCCGCTGAGACCTTTAACTTCGTAACCATGAAATATCCAAGGTAAAACGAAATAATTGTGCCGTGCATGTACACGAATACCGCTACTGCTGTTCATATGGGTGCCTGACCTCGGTTAGGTCAATGGATATACTTAGTCTTGTACATGTAGTTGAAGGTATGAACACGAAACACTATAATTATACTTCGAAGTGCAGTTCATCTGTTTCCACCATTATCAAGTCATATTTGGATTACGTAGTGCGATAAAGTTCAATTGTGGTCTTCAGTTTTGTATTTGGCGATAACTAGTTTGTAACACGAGAAATAATCGTACCTGACATGATGTCTCTGGAGGAAATTGTTCCATAGATCTACCAGTATTACGGTTAATGTTTGTGCGATTAGTAATATCCCGCATGGCAATAGCTGATAACATCACTTGGTGCGAGTTCCATCATGTTCACCGCTGCTGCTTGTACTGTTGTGATACCATCGCGGCTGGCTCAGGTCACATGTACATCACTGTCGTCCGTAGACGGATTGTCCATGGCCTGGTCCCTCACGGTCACGCACACCTGTTTTGAACGCTTGACTAGCACTCAGAAGGCGATGTTAGTTACCTAGCGATCGGTACAATAACGTCTCCCAGTGCGGACAATTTTCACGGCGCGTACATACACCACGCACGGTTAACACGAGGTGGAGCATTCTATCTGCCACCGTTCGATCCACGTTCTGAGACTCAAAGGTTTGGATTGAGAAACTGACAGACACACAAACATACATCCTGTGGGCACTGAAGCACAGAGCCCGAAGTTTCGCCATACACGAACATAACGTCATAAGGGTGTATGCGATATGGGTATCCGCTGGGAGGAAATCCTCCTACGATCCCTCTGTAGTCAGTCATCATAGATGCGGGCCAGCTGCCCGGAACATAATCCTGATGCAAGACCACAATGTAGTCTTCTCGTGGTGTTGTTAGTCGAAGACATGGATCGGATCTTCATCACACACATGCTTCGTGGATGTTCATTAGTGGCAAACCAAGTTAGACTCATCTCCAAATAGTAGAAGTGACAAAATGGCATCGTTCCTTTGGGGAGATGTTTGTAAACAGTGGTATTGTATGCTTTACAAGTCACTGTTTGTAGACCAGTAAAAGTCATGTAACAGTCTCGCCATCACTATGGCTGACAAAAAGGAGTCTGTAAAAGTCGTCCCTAGAAATGTACATCTCCACGACACGCCACTAATGTGCGCATATACGAGGTGCTATACGTGTAAGGTTAACCTTGGTTGTATTTGGCTGATGTAGATCTTGCGGGAATGGTCTTTATACTAACAGTGTCTACCTTTGAACATGTACGATGCGCCGCGAGTACACGTCACACTGACTTTATATAACCGAATGCAAACGTATAATAGCTGGAGAGAGACAAGGTCGGATAACCAGCTCTATTTTCAGCTGTAGTACTTCGAAGTACCTATAATTGTGATTGTCTGTGTTTGTAACCGCGTACGAATCTGAATCACAGGAATCACCACAAGCTTCCGTCAAAGCGAGCACCTGTGCATGATTGTAGTTGGCTTGCAGTGGTATACTTGTAGCTAGGTTAGGTAACACAAGAGAGCTTGGAAGTTGTTTCGCAACTCTCAGTTTCACGTATTACTACGATCATCAGGCAACCCTAGGTTAGGAAACAGCGACCTCTAAAGGCATTACGTCGCTTTCTGCCAGTGCCTGGTGTGACGTTCTGTCTAAGGTCTTTGAAGATCGTGAAATAATTGCGGAACAGTAGTTGTTGTTGAAATAATAATAATTAAAAAAATGATCCTGTACACGTCGAAATACAGATGCGAGTACAAACGCTTTACTTTCGCCCTTCATTTCTTTCCCAAAAGCGGGGACTGCAGCAGCCGCAATCTGCATGCTCCTGCACGATGTAGCAATGCAATAATATAGTACGTTCTTCACCAGCCATCTGCACTTTGCTGGGTAGTGCACATTGTCTGTAGTCTTGGCCATGCACCATTCCCTTTACACAGAATCCAGTAAACGTTATGCTACTCAAGAGCCTCCAGATCCCCAAAAAGGTATTATGTCATGTAAAGATATACCTGTTTACCATGACATTGCTATCACCTCGCAGATCACAGTGCAAAAAACCTCAGGCAAACATCATTAACACACACAAACATCCTGATGGTATTCCTTGTGAGGATCCTATTTTCTACCCACACATACATGTACATGTACCTACTTCGACCTTTTCTATTCTTCGCTCTGCTATGTGTATTCCCTGCTTATGACCCATGTGGTCTGCCTATAAAAGCTGCTGCACGGCTTTGTTCCGGGAGGACGAGTGAGACCTATTAGCGAGATCCCAATGAGACCTACACCGACATGTAATATACTCCACTCCTGAGAACTAATTAGAACTACTTCGAGGAACTATCACCTAGACTACTGTGAGTTAAGATTAGGACTTAATCTCTCTCTCTCTCTATCTATCTTCTCTCTCTAGCTATCTCTCTATCTATCTTCTCTCTCTCTCCATCTATCTCTCTATCTATCTATCTCTATCTCTCTATCTCTCTATCTATATATCTATCTATCTATCTATCTATCGATCTTCTCTCTCTCTCTCTCTCTCTCTCTCTCTCTCTCTCTCTCTCTCTCTCTCTCTCTCTCTCTCTATCGATCTCTATCTCTCTCTCTGTCTCTCTCTCTCTGTCTGTCTGTCTCTCTCTCTCTCTCTCTGTCTGTCTGTCTCTCTCTCTCTGTCTGTCTCTCTCTCTCTGTCTCTCTGTCTCTCTGTCTCTCTGTCTCTGCCTCTCTCTCTCTCTCTCTCTCTCTCTCTCTCTCTCTCTCTCTCTCTCTCTCTCTCTCTCTCTCTCTCTCTCTCTCTCTCTCTCTCTCTCTCTCTGTCTGTCTCTCTCTGTCTGTCTGTCTCTCTCTCTCTCTCTCTCTCTCTCTCTCTCTCTCTCTCTCTCTCTCTCTCTCTCTCTCTCTCTCTCTCTCTCTCTCTCTCTCTCTCTCTCTCTCTCTCTCTCTCTCTCTCTCTGTCTGTCTGTCTCTCTCTCTCTCTCTCTCTCTCTCTCTCTCTCTCTCTCTCTCTCTCTCTCTCTCTCTCTCTCTCTCTCTCTCTCTCTCTCCAAAGACTGCAATAAATCCGGGTCCTCTCTACCGCGTAACGCCGAGAAAAACCCTTACACAACCCTTTGTTACTAGTACATGTATTGACAAATAAGTCCTGAGTTTGACTCCGATGGAGAGCAATGTTGTGCAGCGCGTCAGCTGATTGTAAAGTAACTGGTGGAGTTAGTGGACATTACAGTGTAACGTTTATCTCCTTGCTCCTCTTTTCTTCTTACAAATAAGTCCTACCATCAATATAAGTGGACCCACGCAGGGGAGCGTGACGTCGTTATAATTATTTTCATGCATGCTATCTGTAGTCTGAAACTGTCCACCTCTCCATACTGCGCTCTTGGCCCAAATTCACCACACCTTAGCGAGGAAGTCAGTTCGTTCTTGGATAGATGTTCGATATCCTCCAGACAGCTGTTTCGCTCATTGAGAGCTCCTCAGTGCAGTGGAGGTAGATAACGAATGAATATGTGCAGAGGTGGACAGTTTCAAATTATTTCAAATGGTCGAGTCCGTCGCAACTTCTGAGCTACATGATTGTGTTTGTAGTCTGTACTGTAGTGATAGCAAACAGAGAGCAAGTCAAAGATCACGATCACGCATGATCCTGTTGACAGAACTGCTAATGTATGTGACATCATCTATCATAAACTAGACTCGTGTTCCTGCTCCGGATGACAGACCACGTGACGGCGCATACACACTGCACGCGGTCGTTATAACCTAACATTAGGTTCTATACACATGTATTATGACTAGTTTACTAAAGTGTAGTAGACTGGATCATAGCCTGGACACGTGGTGAAACGGTTTCTGTGGGATGGTACAACCCGCGCAGAGTGAGATGTAAAATAAATAAATAACTACCATACAGTACATACTACATAAGAAAGGGTTTGCTCCCCACACTGGAGCTCGCGCTATTCCGCCGACTTTACTAGACACTTGACTACATACACGTACAATGCTCATAATCATTGTACAATGTACATGTGCATTGTACGTCAGCCGCTACTGAGGTACATTTGCTGCTGCTGAGTTATTATTGTCGTGTGTCAACTACTGTAACCATGGTAACTGCTTGTACCCTCAGCCTTAGGCTTAGGCCTGAGGGCAACTGACAGAGCTAGGACAGCACGGAACTAGCCTCAACACCTAGACTAGAGACTAGTAGAGTACAGGAGGACGAAGCCATGCAGGCGTTTGGCAGGTAGCCATAGTAACGGTACCCTGGCTACCGAATTTCGAGTTTCCGGACGTTTGCGGAGTTGATAATAATACTTACTTTATTTCTTCGGACAACTAACACTTCAGTCTCGTTTGTTTATGCCATGCATCGACTGATCGAGGAAAGATATGACATTGTACGTGGCGTCTCGACGCGACAGCAAAGAATGATGTCGCTACACATATCGAGTACTAGTGCGTGCACGTTAGCACTGTGCTTCAGATATAAGCACAAGAGAAGGGGAAAACTAGACACGATGTCACGGGGCCATCTCCGCACGTACAGCTAGTGTGGTTCCTCCTCCTCATGCTGATGCCGTCGCCACCACTGATGCAGCTAGTGTGGTACCTGGTTAGGGCGTAAAGAGGTACAAGGCTGTTGGCAAAATCGTACAATACGTATCCAATACTGCTATTGCCATAGTGTACAACGAGCTCGAGCCAGGACTCTGTGACCTCTCCCCAGCACTACCCCCAAAGCCCAGGTTCCCCACAAACCAGTCCTACCAGTTTCATAACTATACACAGGGCCAGGGAGAGATGTGAGGCATGCAAGTGCCGAGACAAGCTAACAACATACTGGAAACCCGATGATATCTTGGTTTGGTCATTTCACGCCAATGCCACGAATTCTAGCGGATCTATCTAGAATTCGGAATCCAGCCCTTGCAAACATAGCCCGTACACGTAACGTAAGAGGCCTGGTATTTGGTAACGAGTCGTACATTTTAGTGACGTTGTGTACCATGTGACGCTATTTTCGTCTGATGATCGATTCAGTTCGTGAAACTCAGTGTTACGAAAAAACTGCTCGTACTTCTGCCTGTGTGACGTAGTGTATGTGATCCCCATTCAGTGGTACGGTGGAGAAGGTCTAAGAATGAAACGAGCCAAGTAAAGCCTATGACTCAGTACGAGTGTCCCTCGAGGATCACTTCCATTCGGTCCGCTCCCAAACAGATTCTCGGCGTCACTGTTCTTGCGCTGATCAGGCGTGTCGTCTCGGCAGCAGGATCCACGCAATTCCACGGCTCGCACCTGCAATAGCATTATGTTGCGGTCCATCTTCAGACTCATGTTTTCACTGTCTCCCGGTCCAATCCCGTGAGAGGAGCTATAGATAGACACTACAAACACATGCGTGTCAGCGAGACCATCTTACAAACAGCGTCGGAACAACTTACCACAGATCCTCGGGATGCCATAAAGGAAAGGTCCTAGGCCTCAGATTAGCTCCTCTCCAAGATGTGCCCAAGGAAAAATATTTCGAAGGACATTCAGCGATAACTAGAAGCTCGCACCACAGTTGTTGGTGGCACACGGAATTTCTTTACAGCACTGCTAACCCTGCCGTAACCTCGTGTGAGTAAATCACCCGTACCGTGGCGAGGAAGCAGCTAGCATTCCTGCAGGCTTTCATCAACATGAGCGGGCGCGGGCCACAGCCACAAATGGGTGGCTGTCTGGCGTAGGCAGAACATCGTTCTACGTACATGATAGTACACACTAGAAGTGCACGAATCACACACAATGCATTGACACTAAGGAGCACGGTCCTAAGTTAGCACACACACAGTAATAGCGCTCACATCCAAGTTGTTTTTAGTTCATCTCTAGTACTAGTAGTAGTACTAGTAGCAGCAAACACTGACCGTTCTTATCTCTTGCCTCGACGGATGCGTGGATAACCCTTTGTGCAATGCTACTTGGGCAAAGTGGGAAGTAATGATTGTACCAGTTAAGATTGTGTTCTACTCGTCAGTGCACTGTTTGTTTACATCAACCCGCAATAGGAAAACTGCTCCAAGAATATACAATGTAGGTTGTAAGCGATACTGATGTCCTTGTGTTAGCCCCGGTTACCGCTCCGATCATCCTTTCACTGTACTGTGAGTAGAATCGGCCTCGTGGGCAGGGAGTCATGCGGATCATAGTAATGTCCCCTCACCAGGCTATCCAACTACCCAGGCTGTGCTAGACAAGCGAAGTTGGGATCGTCACCAAGCCGGAAAAGACGATAAGTTCGTAAGTATCAGCCAGTATAGAGCTATCAATGGGATTCTTCTCCACTCCCCGCTATGCTTCAGTAGAGAAAGGAGAAAATCACCCGGGATATTTCATCATCTTCGATGACCACACTGTACTCTTTGTGTGCGTGTGTGGGTGGGTATATGTGTGTGTTTGTACGTGTGCGTATGTTTGTGTGCGCGTGTGTATGTGTGTCACAGTGTATGTGTGTTTGTGCGTGTGAGCGCGTGCATGTACGTGTGTGTGTGTGTGTGTGTGTGTGTGTGTGTGTGTGTGTGTGTGTGTGTGTGTGTGTGTCTGTGCGAAGCGAAGTACTGCATAATTTCTAAACTTGAAAAGCGAAAACGATGCCTTCCACTCTTCCCGGCGGTGCCATGACGGCTTGACACACGTATACCACTGTTGGGCATGACAGACCGCTGTGCGCATGCGTATATTGCAACAATGATATCACACGTGGCCGTGCTAAAAAAATTACGGTTCGAGCAAGGTGAAACACATCGCTACTCATTTATTCTATTTGGAGTCGTTTTCCTACAAGAGAAGAGAAAAGGTTGTGGCGGACACCGACACTTTAGAGGTGAAAAGAATCTCAAAGGTTCCTGAATGTAATGTATTGTAGTTCGCCTCCTATAATGGTGTGATCCAATTTGTTACCGGCATCACATTTTGTTCGTTCCTGATCCAGCGATGACATTAATAGTCACATCCGTCAAACTTGTTCATTCATGTACAAAATATCCAACACAACTTGTACTGTTTTGTGGTGTGGGGGCATGGAGCCTGGAGATCTAACTTTGATCCAGTGCAACTTCGTGTAAACATGTATCCGATTCGCGCCAGGCTTCAACTCTACCATTCTATGTACCAGCATGTTCAGCATGCTTGCTGTCTTCGGCATAGTGGTATTCAGGACAACATACATGTAGATATGAGCCATAGAGCTCCGGATTCGTGCATCTACTAGCTGATCACAGTAATGTTATGATCGATCTCATTACTCATCCACACAGCATTGTAGTCGGAGTAACGCATGCCTGGTTGAGTTACGGCTTTGTGTTGAACTAACAAACCAACAAATTCAAAACACCGGTGACATCGACACAAGTGGTCCGTGTAACTGTTCTTCCATTTTATTCCCGTCATTGTTGAGGAGCATCGAATAAGTAGCGATTGGAAACAGACGATAAACATTATTGAATCATGGCCGGGCAAAGAAAATATCGCTGTCTTGCGTGCTTCTCTTGCAACGTGCGTACATGTGCATGGTACTTGTTATGATAATTCCAATGAAAAAGGCATAGGTAGGTGCAATAGGTGCAAATCGAAGTGTATGAAGTCTGAAATGCTCACTACTCGTGCTTCAAAGTGCACATCCATGTACATGTGTATGGGAGTTGTAACCTATTCACCCAAGCAGAGGGATGAAGGCAGACAATAACTCAGTACAGTGTTGGCTGGTGACGGGGGTCACTGTAACCTGAGAATGTATGCAATGAGCAAGAAGTGGCTTAGAAGAAAATAGAAATCACATGTGAAATCACAATCGAACTCGCATATTGTGAAGAATTGACTCCGTGTGATATCAGGAAATGCTAATAGAGCACGAAATAACTCAAGTGTGAATCTGGTGACTGAATGGCTTACCTGCTCCTCCTCCTGTTCCTCCTTGGTGCTTGGTGATCAAAAGCAGTCGTGTAGAGACCTCGTATTTCGACTTCGCAAAACTTAAAAAGTTCCTTCTCCTTCGCAGGCAGGTACGATTAGTTCGGCGAAGGCCATCATTGAAAAACGAAACGGATCAAAAACCAAGTCCTAACCTGAATCGGGAGGCCATTGCCAAGAACGCACCGATCATCCCCAGTGAATTGACCACACTGTATTCGTGACTTGGTACAATGGATTTCCAAGGCGTGGGAAATGGAGTACGTATTCCTATGGTTGCAAGCTTGGACATCTCACTTGCACCGTTGAGGAATCTCATCTGACAAATCAACGATCACGGGTCACGTGGTGATGGCAGTGAAACGTAGTCACTAGTTGAGGGAATGGAAAGGGGAGAAGTCTGAAGAAAACAATAGGCTGTCACCACTAGGACTGGAACCAGGGACCTTCGCTTATAACTATAGTCTATAGATGTACATGTACATGTACATGTTCGTTGTGTCCCAGTCATAGTGGGTACGGAGGACAACGCAGGTATTGGTCGTATTTTGCAGTTGTACTGACTTTGAAAGTAAAGTTAAACCGAAATCTATCAGTAGGGGCAGGAGCGAGGAAGAAGCATAGAGAGAGAGAGAGAGAGAGAGAGAGAGAGAGAGAGAGAGAGAGAGAGAGAGAGAGGGGGGGGGAGGAGGGAGAGGGAGAGGGAGAGAGGGAGAGGGAGAGGGAGAGAGGGAGAGGGAGAGAGAGAGAGAGAGAGAGAGAGAGAGAGAGAGACAGAGAGAGAGACAGAGAGAGAGACAGAGAGAGAGACAGAGAGAGAGATAGAGAGAGAGAGAGAGAGACAGAGAGAGAGACAGAGGGAGAGACAGAGGGAGACCGAGACAGAGGGAGACCGAGACAGAGACAGAGAGAAAGAAAGAGAGAGAGAGAGAGAGAGAGAGAGAGAGAGAGAGAGAGAGAAAGAGAGAGAGAGAGAAACGAGATTGTCGAGGGCAGCATAGTAAGGACGGTGGTCATGTCCCGGTCCACCAATGTTTGCTCGTGTGATTTCCAGTTTGTGTGCGCTCTCTGGCCAAGGAGACCCATCTTCAGGGGTGGATACCTCGCTTTGGTTGTGGGAGGGGAGCAGGGGGAGCTCTCAGTAAGCGCCAGCGGAGAATAACTGGCCGTCTTTCCTGCAAAGATCCCCAGTCTCTATGTACTCGTGATACCCATCCATTACTTGGACGCAACCGAAACTGACTTCCGGCATTTCTCACGCCCCTACTTGAAGTATGTACATGTGTATAGGATCACGGAAAAGGAAAGCGGTACAACTGAGTCTGTGGAAGACAAGCAGAACGTTACTACTGAAGTACTAACATACAATGACAATGTACATACTCGTGATCTGAGCTGCGTTCAACCTTTAGTTTTGCCCTACCTTTACAGCATGGGATTATCCGATTTACATTGCATAATAATTATTATTATGAACTTGTAGCAATGAATTTTGCTGTTAGAGGATCTCTGAGTCTCTCTGCCGGGATTACCATGACCAGTCACGTGCCTGCATCTTCACATCTGGATTTTTGGGACGCCATGCACATCTCCGGTGGGAGGCGGCGGTGGTTGGTTTGTTTTAATTCGCACAGGAGGGGGGGTAACGGGGAGACAAGCGGTGAAACGGATCGGGTATTTTGCAACAAACGTGCTTCAAGGGAACTTTGGTTGGGACTAAGATGACCAATATTCGGAAACACGTGGCCCCCAATTCCGACAAACATAGATCCTATAGATGGACGTCTCTGTAATGCCAATCTTCCGTGGCCCCTCGACCAACTAGGACTATAATACAAGTGCTGCACTACTTTCTTCAGTAACAGCTTTGGACTGTAGTCAACCAGGTTTACCAAGCTATGCTTCCGAGCTTCGATTTAGGCAGTTGCCGCCTGTTGAACTGTTGTACATAGAACAGTCCCACCGTGTTCGTTACCGCCCTGTAATGCGATGTAGTGATCAGTTTAGAGCGTTTGGGTACAGCCGGCTGGTTCCTTTTGTTCGACATGTATCCAGCTAGCATAACGTAACGTGATTTAGGTCGTAAAACTAACATGACTAATAGGTAAAACGTCGAGTACATGTAATCATAAAGTGGGTCGATGTTTCTGCTCGGAAATTCAGTGTTCGTAAGTGAACAGGCATAGTACTAAGAGTGCAGGTTCTACACCCTGCTCCTTCGCCGATTTCAGCTTCTTTGGTAGTAGTTTGCCTGTGGAATATGCAACACGCCAGGATGTTCCAAAGGCCCTACCTAGCCTCGACTCTCCGTGCGTCGTTTCATGGCGAACTGAATGAGAATAGTCTTGGCACCAACACTCCGCGGCGCACACATTTCGGTAGCCGACACTCACAGTCCTGTCGGATTCTGTGCCAATACACGTTAGTAAAGAGGAGGAGCGTGCATGTGATCAGATCGAGTAGCATTAATTTTATAATAGTGAGCAAGGATGGCTGGCATCGCTTGCACTCACACCTTTATCGCATTCGCAATCAATTGTTCTTACCTGGACATAGGTGATCGGTTGACACGGCTCAGGGATAACCACCACCGTTGCTGCCGCTGCAGCCGGGGCTGCTGAAGCTACGAACATGGTCGTCATCCTGTCTCGTCGCGATGCAGGCAAATTGCCTGCACACGGCTGGCTGAGTGTCCGCGCAGTATTAGCAGGCAGTTCAGAGAGGAGGAAGAAGAAGTGCAGTTGAGTTTGGCTTTGCCAGACAACAAGAGCAACGCACTCAGCACGCCTGACTAGTACTAGCATCAGCCAGAGGCAAAGACCAGCCTACGACGTTGCCTCAATGACCTGAAGACCAGCCTACCAGTGCGGAGATCAGGACTACTAGACATTCCTCGCCCGGTGAGCATGACATTCGATGGACATGTAGCAGTAGGCATAATGGTGCACATGCATACATCATAGTTCATACACACATGAACTGTCCGTGCACATAGCTAGATCTAATGTAAAGAGAGAGAGAGAGATGTATCCATTGTTGCATGCAGGTCTCTTACCAACACAGCTGTGTTCCGTGTCAATGCGCTTGTCAAGTTCTGACTGCCTGGCAGGTTGTCATAGCAGTTCTGCCATTGCAAGCACATGCTTGTCTGTCACCGCCCTATAGCAGTATGGCCGACCCGCCAGAAACATGACTACTCTTACAAGAATACTAGTAATGAAGTGGCATGGGCTGGTCAGTAATGGTGCATCACCGTCAGGCCTGCCTCGGCCTCAGTGCCTGCCTGTCACTACGATTATCGTCCTGCATTGCATGCACTGTCTGGGAGGGGA